TCTCGTGGCATGAGCACACAGGCAAGCACGTGTTCTAATGTCAATGCCGGTGAACCAGAGGGCCGAGCAATCATCACGCCCAAACCCAGCACGGGTGATGATAGTTTAACAGGTTACGACCCGCACGACGGCCATCGAGCAATTAGTGCACAAGCGGACAGCTTTCCTCGATAGGAGGAGTCATTAAAAGTGTGCAGTAGCTTAGTGACGGTATCCTATACGGTACGCGCCAGAATTCGTGCAACATGCTGACAGATGCGAAAGATTGATACTCTTTTGCTAATCGGCATTGACCCAGGTTGTGATACTGATTATCGTGTAGTCTATTCTGAAGTCATTTCAGTCTTACGGGCTATTTAACTAGCTTCCTTGTGACCACCAACAAAACATATGTACTGTAAAAAGTTACGACTTAAATAGTATGCGTTTTTGTCACTGATTTTGACTGCTTTGAGGGCTTTCATCTGCGCATGACTATGAATATGCCACCATCACCTATGATTAAGGATTCCCGACGGTGTCCGAAACGTCACGAAAATAAAACTCTTGTTCCATTGATCGCATCCTCTTCCTCTGACATTCAAGTATATTCTGTAGAAAACGTAAACGAAAAAAATTATCTATTGTACTCGTTTGCTAGCAGATTACGCCTTCTTTAAATTTTATACTTTAAAAGGGCATCTTTCGGTTTCTAAAAAGTTTTTAAATGACCGAATAATTTAGAAACTCACTGACTGCTACACTCGAATCCAAGGTTTACAAATTGCGCACTGTGTACAGCCTGTTTAAGGAAAAGTACGTTTTTGCCTACAGTTTTAGGAAGAAGTCACATAGTTGTCATAAAATATTGCAATAGATATGGAACATATTTTATGCAGTATAGGCAGCATTAATAAATTGACGGATACGATGTATTATGAGTGAACACCTCACTATCATAAAAATGTTCATAATTATAAATTTTTCTAAAACCGAAGTATACACTTTCTAAGTATAAATTTGAAGAAGGTGCAATTTTCTACCAAAAGAGTACAAGAAATAATTTTTTTTCCTGCATGTTTTCCATAAAATATATTTGAATTTATAAAGACAGTCAAAAGTAATCATAAAAACGCATCCTATATATGTAGTTACTTTTCACAGTACATACGTTTTCTTAGTGGTCAGAAAGAAGCTCGTTTTAAAGCCCACATCCTATTATGACTGAAATAACTTTATAATAGACTACACGATAATCAGTATCACAACATCAGTCAATGCCCATTAGCGAAAAAGTATTCATCTTTCGCATATGTCGGCATGTTACACAGATTCTGGCACGTACTGTAGATACTGCAACTCCTTGTATATGGATGATACTTTTCAGCGACCCTCTGCCACTACGGAATCTAAAACGCCAGGCGGATAATTATTTTGTTTTTGCCATCAAATTTTCTTCTGCTTTTTCTTTTTTCTTCTTCTTCTTCTTAATATCAGTCAGTGTCTACCTATGGAGATCTATAATAAAGCTGATTCCAGTTTAAAAATAAATACCCATGCAATAACAAAAGTCTTACCTTCATGAGACCATCAACATCGTAGGTAAGACTGACGGCACTCTTCATACTTTTCCATAGCGCCAGGGTGTCATTCTGGCGCAGCAGAATGGGCTTCTGGTGGATGAAGAGGGCCAGAGAGACGCGGAAGAGGACTTTGATTCCTTCCAGCAGGAAGACATCCCAGATACGAAGAAGGGTCTTGAGGCAGAAACATAAAGCAAAAACGCTACCGCTGATGAAGGTGTCGATAGACAAGATTTGAATCCAGCCAAACGTAACACACGCTGTCACATATTAGTAAAGGCATGGCGAAACCAAAAAGAGACCCAACACGTGATTTGCCCGCGTAGACAAGGGTCTGTTTCATGCAACTATTCAGCTGCACCCGGTAGGCAGCCGTAATGGCTCGCAGTGCAGAAATGGAGAAAAAGGGCATAGTCAAATGAGAGAGAGCCTGAATGTGGTTTTGTCTCAATACCGTGCCTTGGAGGGCTGACATGGTAGGGCCAGCATGGTGACCTTGTCATAACTACTACCGAGATGAAATCGGACTTTCTGGCTTAATTTGAATTGATGGACCAGCGCGTATGTGATATAATGGTGCTTGACCTTAAAAAAGAATAGGCAGGAAGTGGGAGCGAATATAATATTGATGCTTGAAAAGTTTTGCTGAGTGGGGTAGCTCACACGCGTTAGCTACGGTTGCCTAACCAGAAGGCGATCGTTTTCTTAGAGTTTGAACAAAAAACTACACCGACTGACCTAAATGTACCTACTAAAGGTAAATTGCTACCCCCAGAGGCTTTACCAGTCTTCCTGTCTGTAAGCGTTGATAGTTGTACGCTGTCCGCTTGTTAATTACTCGATCGACGGTCGGTTTCACCCTCTGCCCCACAGCAAGGTGACGCAGCGAGGGTGAATTAGTTTCGAGTGATGATAGACTTTCGCTGCATCTACCGCACACTCTCCCCCACATTGACCCAGTTTTAGGACCAAGTGGACCGGAAGCGAGAGAGTGCGCAGGTGGCTGGCGCGACATGAGCCTATACTCACCTATACACACTCTCCCCTCATGTACGCTCTTTCCTTTGGAAGTGCATTTCGAATAACACCTACCGTGCTCTGATTTACCCGACCCTCCGTTGTTCAAGTTTAGGGGACATAAGAATCAACGGTGCGCCACACTAACCTGCACTTCGGTAAATATTCCCGTGGTTAACTTGAAAAGTCAGTTTATTAGGCAAAACACATTTTTCGGCAATTCAATGAACGTTTGAACGTGTAAAAACATCAATAATTGTCCTAGGTGGGCGCTTATTGGCATGGTTAAGGAAAGGTGAAACTACACCGATGTCAAGCTCTGTTCTCGCACACCTTGTCGATACGAATCACCGAGTCGATACTAGTGAAACCTTTCAGGTTGTCTACCGAACACCAACCAACTTCTCCAAATGTCTACGTCAACGGGTGCTGGCAACAGCGGAAGCAGTGGGTATACGCCTAATGAATCCAGTACTCTGCTGTCAGAAAACCCTAACGCAAGCCCTGTCCCTTCCGTGGCCGACGCCGACGCCAGGTGACGATAGCATATCGCCCCCAGCCACGAGTGGCAGTGGTTCCCCCAACACGCCGGCTACTTGCGCAGACTGACAAAGACCGCAGTGGCCAATAGGCGCCCACCTAGGACAATTATTGATTTTTGCACACGTTCAAATGTTCATTGTTTTGCAAAACTAAGGGCCTGACGAAGAATTGCCGAAAAACGTGTTTTGCCTAAATAGCTTTACGGCCACGAAGGCAAATGAAGGTGCAAGTCCTAGATTCTTGCTGCACAAAGATGATGAGGGCGCATGTCTGGACTTTCAGCGTCGTACAAGAGGTCATCTTTAGAGACAATGAGTGTGCAGCGAGAATTGGCGTGTTTTGTAGTCCTGCTATGAGAGGAAAAAGGGGGTGGGGAAGGGGTTCCGTCAGTGCATCAGAGGTTGTCGGCCGCCTTCTCGCAACACTTGGGGTTGGAGTCACACACAGGCCGGAAGCAACCAC